ATAAATATTCTCTTTAAATCTGTTGATGAATCCATATTTCCTAGAATCATGAAATGTGAAACTGCAAAGGATGTGTGGGATGAGCTCACAAAGATCGGAGCTGGTGATGAACAAGAAAAGGATAACAAACTGACCATAGCCCTCAAGAAATTTGAGGACTTCAAAATGATGTCTAATGAGTCTATTCATGAGATGGAATCCAGGTTCCTAAAGATCATAGCAGAGGTCTCAGACCTAGGCAAAGATCTATCCCAAAAGGAGATTTCCCTCAAGGTCTTGAGAGGCCTGCCCTCAAAATGGGACATGAAGGTGACTGCTATGAGAGATAGCAGGGATCTAAGAACCTTGTCAACTGACAAGCTCTTTAGTGACCTAAAAGCATATGAATTTGAGATGAAGGAGATGAAAGATGAAAGAGAGGATGAATCCAAGACACTAGCCTTAGTGTCTGAGCCAAGCACATCAAGATCCAGTGAAAAAACCCTCAAAAATCTCCTTACTGACGAGCAGTTTGCTATGTTTGTGAGGAAGTTTAAAAGATTTATGAAGAAGGAGGGATCTGCCCCAAAGAAGCCATACAACATGCCACCCAGGAGACAAGGGAAACCTCAATCCAGTGAGGACATTGTCCTGTGCTACAACTGTAGACAACCAGGACATTACAAAAATGAATGCCCTCTGCCACTGGCACAAAAGTACCAAGGGCAGCACAGAACTGCTCAAAAAGCTGGATACAAGAAGGACTTCAAAGGCAAGAGACAAACCTTTGTAAGTGAAAAGAGGAAGGAAGAATCCCAAAGTGATGAGGAGAGCAGCTCAAGTGATGAAAGCTCCTCATCTGAAAGCTCTGAAGAAGCACTTCTCTGTCTAGGATCATGGCAGGTGGCTGAAGAAAATGGCAGTCGGCTCACTGAAGAGAGCAGCAGGTGGCTCAATGAGCCTTCCACCAGTGGAAGAAAAGATGATGAAAGTTGCTCCCCCATTTTCTTAATGGCCAAGGACCACCACAACGACGTTGAGGTAACATCCTGCTCTTCCTATAGCTCTAGTGATTCTAGACCAAACAATATCACACTGGAATCTTTGTTACAAGACTTCCAAAAAGTCCAAAATCACCATGTTCTCTTAAAAGCTGAAAATGATAGACTGAAACAAGACATTAAGGCCATTCATGCTAAATTACTAGATGTCTTAAGCAAAAAAGATGTCTTAGAAAAGGAGAACAAAGAGATGAAAACCCCCAGCACGGATAGTAAAAACTTTCACCCTACTGCTGAAGTTATTCTAAATAGGAAGAGAAGAGGTCTTGGTTACTCATCCCCCACTAGACTCACTCAAAAATGTACATCTACAAGCCATCAACCAAACACAAGAAAGCTAATCTACCAAAAAATCCACTCCCCAAATGTTCCCACAAGAAGGAACCAACCTGATCCCAAACAAAAATCCAAACTCCTGTATAAATCAACACCTCCTAACCATCAAAACACAAGAACCCGTTGGCAACCAACCAATAAGACTAACCACAACCAAAATACCAAGCAGACCCCTCAAATCAATAATCCATTTCCCACATCAAGAAGGAAAAGGATTAATAAATACATAGCCATCCCCTATGATTACCACACCTCAAATGGCAATAGACCAATCTGCTTAGAGCTTAACGGTTCTAGATGGGCATGGATGCCTAAACTTATACAAGGGAAGTCGCCCACTAACTTGTGGGCTACTGCTCAACACTGATCTATACAGGAAGGTGCTGGAGCAGCTGAAACACAAACATGGTACATCGATTCAGGCTGCTCCAGGCACATGACGGGCAGCAGGCGGCTCCTGTCAAACTATACAGCAAGGGAAGGACCCAAAGTGACATTTGGGAATGTGGAAAAACAAGGAGAAACCAAAGGAGCTGGAGATCTATCAATCAATGGACTTACAATCCAAAACATATCCTAAGTTAACGGTTTGAAGTTCAATCTCATAAGCACAAGCCAGCTCTGTGACAATGGATATAATGTTACTTTCTCCAAAGACATATGCTTGACTAGAGATGTCAAAAATGACAAAATTGTGCTCTCTGGAAGAAGAAGGAAGGACATGTATGTGGATGATTGGAGCTCAGCTAAGAAAGGGATCTGCTTGGTGACAAAGGCAAGTTCAAATTTGAGTTGGGAATGACACAACAAACTAAGCCATCTAAATTTCAAAACAATCAACAAACTGTCCATAAAAGGACTAGTGAAAGGACTCCCTGAAATCAACTTCAAAAAGGACCATCTCTGTGATGCTTGTCAAAAAGGAAAATAAACCAAGATATCATTTAAATCAAAGGAAGTGGAATCATCAACTAGGCCCTTAAACCTACTACACCTTGACTTGTTTGGACCAGTTGAACCAACAAGCTTAAGTGGTAGAAGGTACACCCTGGTTGTAGTTGATGATTATTCTAGATACACTTGGACCATATTCTTAAAGAAGAAGAATGAAACAGAGAAGAAACTCCCTAAGTTGATGAAGCTAATTCAAAATGAGAAAAGTCTCTCAATCCAGAAGATCAGGTCAGATAGAGGTACTGAATTCCTCAACTCTATCATAATTCAGTACTGTGAAGAAAATGTAATCCATCACTAAACCTCAGCAGCAAGAACACCTCAACAAAATGGTGTTACTGAAAGAAGGAATAGGACACTCAAGGAGTCTGGAAGGACAATTCTAGAAGCATCTGGTTTACCCAAAAGATTTTGGGCAGAAGCAATCAACACGGTTTGCTACACTCAAAATAGAAGTCTTATTCATAAGACTCACAAAAAGACACCATATGAGTTATGGAAAGAAAGGAAGCCTAATGTTAGTCATTTCCATGTGTTTGGATCCAATGCTTTATCTTAAACAATGGAAAAGACTATCTCAGCCATTTGATCCCAAATCTGATGCAGGGATCTTCCTGGGCTACTCAACAACAAGCAAGGCATTCCGGATCCTCAACAAAAGATCTCTGGTGGTAGAAGAATCAATCCATGTGGTGTTTGAAAACCACCCCACTTCTCAATTAAAAGGTGAAGGTGAGTCATCCAAATCAAAGGACACTGGAAAGGCTCCAAGCTGCCTTCCAAATAATAATGTGCAAAAAGATGGAAAGGCAGTTGACTCAAACGCCAGCCTACTGCCAGCAGTTGACTCAAACGGCAGCCCATTGCCAGCAGTTGACTCAACTATCAGCCCACTGCCAGCAGGTGACTCACCAAAAGACAACCTTCCAGGTACTCATGACATTCCTAATCATCCTATTCTACCAGAGGATAGTGAAGAAGAAGAAGAAGAGGAGAAGGACCAACAAATTCTAACCAAAACAAAAATATTTGACATTAGATGGTTGAATAAACATCCTCCTCACAAGGTAATTGGAGATATCAATACAGGGGTTCGTACCAGATTAGCAATTCAGAGAGAAGCATTATTCTCATGCTTCATCTCACAAATTGAACCCAAGAAAATTGAAGAAGCCATACTTGACTCTGACTGGACACAAACCATGCAAGAGGAACTCAACCAATCTGAGAGAAACAATGTGTGGGAGCTTGTGCCCAGACCCTATCATCAACATGTGATAGGAACTAAATGGGTATTCAGAAACAAAATGGATGAGGAAGGCACCATAGTCAAGAATAAGGCAAGGTTGGTAGCCAAAGGCTACTGCCAGGAAGAAGGTATAGATTTTGGTGAAACCTTTGCTCCTGTTGCCAGATTGGAAGCAATAAGAATCTTCTTGGCTTATGCTGCTCATAAGCAATTCACAGTCTATCAAATGGATGTGAAAAGTGCCTTCCTGAATGGTCTACTAGAAGAGGAGGTCTATGTGGAACAACCTCCTGGTTTTGAAATCAATAGAGAAAAGGACCAAGTCTACAAACTGCATAAAGCTCTCTATGGACTCAAGCAAGCCCCAAGAGCATGGTATGACACTCTCTCTGAATATCTAGTGAATAATGGGTTCACTAAAGGAAAAGTAGACAAGACTCTATTTAAAATAGAAGAAGGTCCCCACATACTACTTGTTCAAATCTATGTTGATGACATAATTTTTGGAAGCTCAAATCAAGCACTATGTGAAAAAACTTCAAGTCTCATGCAAAGCAAATTTGAAATGAGCATGATGGGAGAGTTGAACTATTTTCTGGGACTACAAGTGAAGCAGACTCCTCAAGGTATCTTCATCAACCAAGCCAAATATACAAGAGATCTCAGGAAAAAGTTCAAGGTTAAGAACAAGTCTACGGTCAAGATACCCATGAATACATCACAAGGTCTAAGTCAAGATGAAGATGGCAAAGATGTTGATCCTGCACTTTATAGAGGTTTGATTGGTTCCTTATTATATCTCACCACAAGTAGGCCAGACATATCCTACTTAGTTGGTGTATGTGCAAGATTTCAATCTAAACCTAAGGAAAGCCATCTTCTAGCTGCAAAGAAAATATTGAGGTATCTAAGAGGTAATCCTAACTCTGGATTAGGGTACCCATTATAATTAGCTATCACTCATAATCACTCATAATCCAGTTGGAGGTATTGAGGTATCACCGGCTCCATTCTGAATACCTCCAAAGTCCTTGAAAGAGCTGAGAACAATGATCTAATGAGGGAACTAGCCGTTGGAATATAGCCGTTGGAGAATACGGCTGATTCCTTTTAACATTAACTGCGTTCATACTGGTAGCAGGGGGCTCAGTTTTGAGTAGATTTTTGATGATTTTCGAGAACAAGAGGTACCTTTTTGGAATCCTTGATATGAGGTGATCAAGATGATGTAGCATAGATGAAAAGAACTAGGCCTATGGGTCTACTGGAGCTACCCACTTCGATCAATTAGCCAAGATTTTGACCGGATACGAAATCACTGGTGCTCGATCTAGTGGTATTTTTATGGGGATTCTATTTATCGCTCTAGGATTCCTATTCAAGATCACTGCAGTTCCTTTTCAGGCGGCTGTAGGATGGATGGCCGCCTATAGGTGGTAGGGTAGGGTGGGTGGTACCGCTCAGATTGCGGCCAATCTTCCTAACCGCGCGCGGGCCGGGCTTAGAGCGCGTGAAACTCATCACTACCTCGTAAGGGCGTTGAGACCATAGCATGTTACACGAAAGCGCCGCTTTCTCTGTAGTGTTGTCACACAGCTGCCCGCCTAGAAGAGCCACTCGCTCTGTAGTGTTGTCACACAAGATAAGCACGCCGCCCGCCTGCTGGCCGGGCGAATCGAAGTTCTCTTCCGGTCAACTGTCCACCCAGTCAAGTGCAAAAAACACAGTAGAATCACGCAACGCACGCTGCTGGTGTGCTTCCTGCTCGCGAGGAAAGAAAGAAGAGCGACAAGGTTCAGATTTGACTGTTTGCAGCATGGGAGCAGATTCCCCAAAAAATCCCTGGGAACAATAAAAAAAAAGATATCTCGATAACGAAAACTATAGGGGGCTGTATTGGCGAGATCCAACGGTGAACAGCTTCCCAAAAGAAAAACCGCCTGGAAGTCCGAGGACCTTTAGTACTGTACTCTACCCCCGAACCAGCAGCCTTCGCGCCAAGCAAGACCGCCCTTGTCCCTTTCCTTTCTCCATTCCGCCTCCTTCTTTGCTTTGTTTTCCAATAGAGTATAAGGCAAGGTGGTTCGTATGCCTACTTTACCTACTTGACGAAAGGGAACGAACTTTGTTTCATTTCCGGGGTTATGAATTGGATTCAGTAAGCCTCACGACATAATCAAAAGGAAGGAGTAAGGCTTTTGTTACCGGCCAAAGGCGACCCTCTCGAGTTTCCGGCTGTTTCCTAGATTGAAGTAGCCTTTCGTCGCCCTACCAAACGAATTCACTATCAAACAGCTCGCCCTATTTAAGTACCAAAGGTGCGCTCAGCCCGGTGACTAAGAAATGGGGTTGCCCTTTCATTGAAGTGATGAGGTCGGAAAGAGGGAAGTAGGGCTCCTATTGACTAAAGGTTGGTTCTTCGCTTTCCTTTAGAATGAAAGTGGCTATGAAGCCCCTACTACTTACTTTTTTTTTTTTTTAGTGCAACAATGAAAGTGACTGCGCCCTCTTCCCTGCAGCTTTCCATATTTTGTATTGAACGCATGGCGTAGCTAGGACCCTTCAAATCATGTTTGAGCCTATGTGAAAACCCACCCCCTATTTGACTAAGGCTGGAAAGAATGCCCACCAAGTTCAGCCCACGGAGCGGGAATGCTTTCCCCAACCATTCAAGGAAAGACTCGACGAAGGGAAGGAAAACGCTTTTTTTACCGAGTTCCGCCCGCTGGCCTATTGGGATAGCAGCCTTCGGGCTTTGCCTGCCCTTTCAAAATTCCGGCTCGGCCCGGGAAAGCGCTGGCAACAACAGAAAGGAAGGGGTCCATGTAGCTGCTGCGTCCGCCCCCTTCTTAGTCAATGGGGCACAGCGGGTTCGGCATCTACTACAAAAGAGAGAATCCACTTAAGATAACCACGCCTCTGCTAGGCAGCGTGTGGAATGGCCGAGAGCGGACCTTTTTGGATATATAATCCAAGTCGAGAGTAGAGTTACGGGAACAGCCGTCTGATGGAAAACAACTTTCACGTTCGGTTCAGAGAGCACTTTTTTCGTTGAGAATTCCTCGTTCCCTTTCGTGTGAATTCCCCAGCGACGAATTCAAAACTTGTGGGGCCCTATCTATTCCATCTCTCGAGCCCCGAAGAAAACCCCCTCCCCTTCGGACTCCATATCCCTTTTGACTCTATATATGTGGGCACCTGATATCTATGAGGGTTCACCCACCCCGGTTACAGCATTCCTTTCTATTGCGCCTAAAATATCTATTTCTGCTAATATTTCACGTGTTTCTATTTATGGTTCTTATGGAGCTACATTGCAACAAATATTCTTTTTCTGCAGCATTGCTTCTATGATCTTAGGAGCACTGGCCGCCATGGCCCAAACGAAAGTAAAAAGACTTCTAGCTCATAGTTCAATTGGACATGTAGGTTATATTCGTACTGGTTTCTCATGTGGAACCATAGAAGGAATTCAATCACTACTCATTGGTATCTTTATTTATGCATCAATGACGATAGATGCATTCGCCATAGTTTTAGCATTACGCCAAACCCGTGTCAAATATATAGCTGATTTGGGTGCTCTAGCCAAAACGAATCCTATTTTGGCTATTACCTTCTCCATTACTATGTTCTCATACGCAGGAATACCCCCGTTAGCCGGCTTTTGTAGCAAATTCTATTTGTTCTTCGCCGCTTTGGGTTGTGGGGCTTACTTCCTAGCCCCAGTGGGAGTAGTGACTAGCGTTATAGGTCGTTGGGCGGCCGGAAGGTTTCCACGAGTCAGTCAGTTTGGGGGACCGAAGGCAGTTCTCCGTGCACCGGACACGTAGCTTACCGAATCAGTTGCGACACGGATGGGAATGCATGCTACGAAAGATAGGGTCGAGTCTGATACAGAAACCGTCTACTCAATATCCTTGTACGAGTCCACAATCACTACACAAGATGAACCTGAGTTTGGTGAATTGAAGTTGGCCTTAGGTGTAATGACTCCCAGTTACTCCGCGCGATCGTATACTGAGGTGCTCCCCGCCGGTTGTTGGAACGACGCGAGCCGGGCCGGGTCTCGATTCAGAAAGATGAAGGGAAATAGGGGGTTACAAATTCCCCATCTCATTGGGGGCGGAAAACGAATCGACATCTCGATGTGATACAGCCCTTTCTATTTTAGTTGGGAAAGAACGGCGAAGTCCATCCGAACCGTCCAATGAAGAATAAGAGGAGAGCAAAGCGCCAATGGCGCGCGAAGCGCATGCGGAACGGGCACGAAGAAAAAGAAGTGTGGAGGAGAAGCAGCCGAGCTCATTCCCTTCGCTTCCTGGGTCCAAAGCAGTATTTCCTGGCAAAACAAAATAAAGGATTTGGGGTGACTCTAAATATCCATTTTTTTTAGTCATATATGCCATCTATGCTATCTGATTTCTATTTTGATATAGAAAAAGCATTCAACGTTGAATGAAAAGAACTCCCCCCCACTCATGAAACGGCTCTGCTGCAATGGATGGCAGAGGGTCCGTAGTACCCGAAGCACTGGAGTGATCCAGTAGCCGGGAAGGGGCCTAGAAGTGCCTACTACTACACCACACTACACAGGGCTCTACACATTGACAAAGCTAACCCCTGTCCAGAGCTAAGGGGGCTTCAATCCTTACTATTTATCCCCCAGGCTAACGGGGCCTTACTTATTAAGGGGGGAGCCTCGAAAAGCACTGTTGAGAGGAAGATCCTTGGCCCCTCTTCATTCTCTACAAGGTTCCAAACCTTTCTTCAACATAGGTGACAACGAGCCAGGCAGAGATGGAAGAGATCAAACACGGGAATAAGAAGCAAGCTCGCCTTCCTTTTTGATCATTTTGATAGAGGGGGATGCAGAAAGTGGACAAAATAGACTCGCATTTCTCATCGAACAAATACAGTATTTCATTGGTTACATATTGAAAACGCTCCTAACCCCTTCCTTCGTAGAGCCCGTGTATTGTAAGTGATCCGAACCTGCCCGGAGCGAGCCTCCCATAGAGGCAAGTGAAGTTGGTGAGCCGTATGATGGGCAACTATCTCCTGCGGTTCGGAGAGGACTCAGCTGTTAGTTAGTACCCCCTTGGTTTCGGGGTGGACCCTTTCACTCTATTTTATTATATACGCTTAGTGAAAAGAATGTTTTTTGATACACCTAGGACATGGATTCTATATGAACCAATGGATCGTGACAAGTCGTTACTACTAGCAATGACTTCCTCTTTCATTACTTCATTCTTTCCATATCCTTCTCCTTTGTTCTCAGTTACTCATCAAATGGCACTCAGTTCATATCTTTAAGTTCGATCATTGACAAGGTTCAAAGAAAGGGTGGGGCTCTAAATGAATAGAAAGACAGATCCGCTGATCTTATCAGCCCTTTTATTATATATAGGATAGCACCATCTCTTCCTACTACGCGGTAATATTTTGAAGACTATGCTTTTGTCGGTACGGAAAGCTAGTCTTCTTACCCAGATTCAAGTGAGCCCAATAGTGCAGCGGATTCTGTAAGAGCAAGGATAGAAGGGACATCCCGATGGGAAAGAAGGAAAAGACAGTCTTTGACTTCCCGAAGGCAAGGCTGCTACCAAGCCTTATTTCTTAAAAAGCCAAAGGGCTAGAACCAGGAAATCAATTCTATAAAGCAGAAGTCGTGCTAACAACCGTTGGCTCAGGGACGGATCCCATACATCTATAATTCGCTTACTCAAGTGAGAGTTCCCTATAAGAATTATAGGAGTCCAGTTAATAATATTTGAAAAGCTATCGAGCTATAGGAAAAGGAAAGTAAAGCGTTAGGGCAAATATAAATATATATCCAGTTTTCAATCCAGCAGGTATAGCAGGTTTACTAGCCATTGATCCAGTTATAGAACTAGTTTGAATGCTAGTTCCAGTGATTCAATTGCAGAAAAATGAGAATCTATTCCCAGGCGAGCTCCTTTACCTGCGGTTGGACTCCCTAGAGATTTCTTTTCATGAGAGGGTGTAGGATTACTATCATAGGTTTCTGGAGAGGTGCTCTAATAACGTCTGGGTCTGGGAGAATACTCAAATCTTATTTTTCCTTAATGAACTCTAAATAGGAAGTTTACCAAAAACCCAGTGATCAAGCAGGAAAAATGCAAGCCTGTGAGGAATCAAGTTGCTTTTTAAGGTAGGAGTCTGTATCAAGTAAGCTAGGAAGTACTATTGGAAGAAGCACTATTTCAAATGCGAATGGATGGATTTTATTCGTTTTATTTTATCCAGTCCTAAACTAAGCGTATCCGATAGCAGTGCTTCGCCCTTCGAGTGCTTATGCCTTTTCTGATAATTCTTTCCCTGGGAAGTTTGGTCTAAGGAAGGGGATAAGGGGTCTCTTTCTGTCCATGGTTATCTGGTGAGGCTAACTCGGTATCCTCTTTCCGTGTGAGAAGCTATTTGCAATATATCCTTTCAATTCAAATGAAAGTAAAAAAGACCCCAGCCATTTATAGTCTTAAGCTAAGCGCATTCTAGGAGGAGGGGAATAAAGCAAGCCAGTTCCTTGTCTTCGTTCTGTCCGGTTGGATGGAGCGGATGTTTAAAGAGCTAGGATACCAATCGGTCAGGGAATCGGCGATTTCCTTTCACGAATAGGAAAGCATAGAAACTCAAGAAAGAGGTCGTAGTCTACCCGAGAGGTGTTAACGTCCATGCAAGGAAGCAATCCAGGGCTTCAAAGTTCTTTTTTTAGTCACGATAAGAATGAAAGGTAGTTCGCCAGAGATGCTGGCCCTATCTAATCTTATCTAATTAAGGGTCCAGCTCGTGACAATCCCGTTTATTGCGTCGAAACCAACCGGTGTGAACCGGAGGAAAAGAATATTTCTTTATTATTATGATTGATAAGGTAGTGGAAAGTACCCCGTTGTTAGGGTGGGGAATCCAATTGAGAATCGTGGTAGTAGACATAGACGTTCAAGCAAGCCTAACCGATCGGATGGGACTCCCGCAAAATGGACAGTGAATGCTCAATCAAGTCCGATGGTTCCGATAAGGGGTTAGTACGCTATTACTAGGTAGGCTCTATACGGCACAATAATGAATGCGAATTCGCAGGTCGCTCCTAACTCCGCACCAAACCGAAGGAGTTTGACCCAAAGGGGGTTGAACGCGGATTGTTGCTAGCCGCCCTTACTCAACATAGGGCAGCTAGCAGTTCTTGTGTGACGAGTGTTGCTAATTCATAGCCACCAAATCCAGGTAGGACAATTTGACGGGTCCACTTAGAACCCATGCTTTGAAAAAGGCATGTCTCTGTTTGTGGGTTGGTTTGAAATGGTTTCGAACGTAGTACGAGCCTCCTTTTCTCAATACACTTAGTTAGCACCACAAGCGTCTTGAGCGCGCAGAATCAAATCAAAATGACTTTCACCCTATTAGGGCGATACGGAAGTGAGCTAGACTGTCTCATGTCAAGGTATATAGTATTGAATGACTAGTAGACTAAAAAAAGGGGTGTTTGCTATGCATCTGCCCCGGAAAGATATGCCTACTATGGCAGGGAAACGGCTTTCAAAAGTATTTTTGTGGTACAACACCACAACCAAAAAAGGGTAGTCGCTTATGATGGTACGATCTGGTACCGGGGATCATAGTGCGTAGCCGGGAAGGAAGTGTTTATTAAGTTCGCAGTGAAAATGTTACTTGTGCCCCTTTCCTTTAGTTGGTGAAAGCTAAGGTGGAAGTTGGTGGGCGTATAAGTGAAAGTGCAATCCAAATCATCATCTGCAATATCCACATCTTAATCAACAGACTAAGCAGCAGGTAAGGGTTTCAATGTTTTTTTTTCATCTTCATTCGAAAAGGCGAGAGAGAGTAACTAGGTCGAACTCGAAGACGCTCAATGGAAAAGCCATAAACAACCGGCCCCTATCACATAAAGGATAAAGGGCGAACCCACCTGAGAATGCCAAGCCTGGTACTGGTAGGTGATCGGAGTGATATATACGATCAATCAGGTTGAGGAACAACAAGCTATGAGCGGACACCAACAACCGTTACCGTTTTAGGTGGAGAAGACTAGAAAGCAGCATGTACGGGTGTGGGTGGTAGGAAGAGCAAAGTAGTAATCCCCGAGACGATTGGATTTTCTTATAGTGAGTGGAAAGGAAAAGGTTCCATTAGCAGACCCCTCCCTTGTGAAGGGAAAAGAATTCATCCTGCGGAGGGCCTTACTATAGATAGGCGCGAGCCGCTTCTCATCTTTGAGGATCGGCATTCTATCTTGATTTTCTCTTCCCGATGAAGGGGACACGACAACATTTGCTTAGGAGATTGGGGACCACACCTCCTTCCAAGACCCACTCACATCCGATTGCGGGAAAAGCCTCTATATCAATCTTCCTTAAGTGAATAAATGACAATTTCAAAGATTATGCTCGTGAGCATAATGGTATAAGCCTGCCTGCTGAAGACCGTAACGTAAGTAACTTAGTGCAAAATCAAAAGTGAAGTACCCGCACGTGTGTAGAGATCAACGGAAGACTCCGCGGCAGAACGATCCGACGAAATGTGCCGCATTGGCCCGATAAAAGAGAACAAATAGAGAATGCTTGTGTGCGTGCATGGAGCCCCATGAGAGAACGAAATGTAAGCGATAGAAGGAGAGAAATCCTATTCAGGAATGAAAGGTACGTGCAAGGGTGAATCTTGAGAGGTTGGACAACAACTACGCACGAATTGGATTCGCAATAGCTTGCTTTCTCTTCGGACAAGAAATATCGTATGATAAGAAATAAAGCCAATCTTTCCCCGCCTCGATGTCAATAAAAGAAGGCTTGCCCGAGCTCTGGTAAGAAGGACGTCGTCTCATACATTGCGAAGGGCCTCTCCATCTTCGAATGAGGAGGCCAGCCCAGAACGAAGTAGCAAGCCTAGACCAAAGAGGGATCTTGTACGAATCCATGTTCGAAGGCAAGCAAGGCAGGTGAGAGGACCAAAGGCCTTCGTCAGATGTTAGAGTTGGAAGGCAATCAATGGAAGAACTCCGATGGGAGTAGAAGGGTGATAGCATCGACAAAGAGAGGTCTTTTGGCGTCTTCTCTTATGATATTTGTTTTTCGCGTGATCGGATTCATTATAAAAAGTCTGGTTCTGGTTTAGCTGGCCGCTTCTAAAGTACGGATGGGACGTCCAATTCGAGAGCTTTTCCACTCAATAAAAAAAATGAGTCAATATAGGGCTAAACACGAATAGGCGCCTCTACACGGGAAAGGAAGCTCACGAGAAAGGAATAGGTGGAGGCCACCCGGCAGTACAAAAACGAAATTCAACATTGGGGACAAACTCAATAGTCAAACATTCCAGGAGTCAAAGACTCCAACGGCTAGCATTTCGGCAAACGCTCTTGCACGACATCTTACTGTCTACGATGTCGTACTGTCGGAGATCTTTCTTCATTCGTAGATGTCTACGGATATAGTGATTCGGAGGTTACAACATTATTCGTATGTTCTAACACTCCAGCGGGATTCATTGTTTTCTCTTTCTGGGTACATTGGAATTGACTATTTCATTTAGTAGCGAACGAAGAAGCAGCTAAGATCGCCGACGAGACGCCGAGATGTTGGGATATGCCGTAATGTGGAGATATGCATGGACGAGATTTAGATTTGAAATGGAAAACTGACGTTCAGATAAACTCCTTGATTTTAGTTATTATTAGGTTAGACAAGAAGGCGAGAATAGCCTGAATCCGAATTAGAAGCTATAGCTCTTGCTAAAGCAGAGTTATTTTTAGGTTCATAGGGGACGATTTTCATGCCGAATGCCTTCACTAAGGAAGGAAAAAATGCTCCTCCTATCCTCCTCATTTCTAATCTTTTCAAACCCGCCCTCTTATTCTCTTCATGTATGTGGGCTGCCCGCCCCCGTCCCGAATAGACGAACAGGAACAAGCTGAATAAAAGCGCGAGAGAAAGAGTTGAGTATCCACTCACCTCCCCTCTTCAAAAATGAGGTGAAGACCAAGGGGGCCGGAAATCCCAACGGGAAACCTTTCACCACGCCACACGATTCTTTCGCGAAGCGCTCTCGCAGTCCGCTAGCAATACACCAAGTAAGTCAGTACAGCACTAGCAAGGGATTTTTCCAGTACATTGCTTTCATTGATCCTTGCTGCTTTTTAGCCTAAATCGAAACTTGACTATTGGGATAACTTCAATTCCTTCAAACATACTTGAAAGTGCACAAAGCATTCCCTCCACCTCTACTCTTATACGAGGAGGCTAACTAGGTGAAGAACTCAAGACGGTATATCATGAGGATGCAAAAAATGTGTACTTTTTTTTCTGTTTTATCGTCTTGTAGATGTACTTAATAGATGCACTCAAAGTGTTCGATAGAACCCAAGGCAAAAGCAAAAAAAGGTGCTTTTCGGTCACCATTGGCTTGGGGCGTCCTCTCTCTAACTGAACAACTTCCAAGTCAACCTTCTTTGCTTAAGCGCTTCTCTTCTCTGGGCGCATGCTCTCCCATTGGGAATTTTATACCCTTGTACGAAGGGCTCTGGCTCTATCAATCAAAAGACCTGTCACTCTCCATGTTGGAATCACAATCGTTCAAAGAATAACATGAATGGAGTCAAAGCTATAGGTTTTTTCACCCTGTCTATTTGTTGTCCTCCACGAAAGTAAGCTCGACTCACTTAAAGCCTCGTTGTTTTCACGTTCCTAGTCACAAGACTACTTTTCTTGGGGTAAACGTCATCCCCTTATCCCTTATAATATAAATAGCCTAGACAGTGGGTCTTCTCAACAATATGGTGGTTCTGCCCCCTCCGTCGGATATTATTGTGATCTTGCCCAATGCTCCTCTTCTAGCGACTCGACACCAGAGACCCCGAAAGGGCGCCAAGACTTTACTATACGCCTGGGAAATCATATTGGTCCTCCCTATCAATTGGCGAGGCCTCACGTAGTACGCTTCTTTCCTTCCGAACTAGGAAAAGGCAGTTATGACATCACTTTGAGTTCTACGCCACCTCACTGGCTCAGAAGTAGTGGGAGCCAGGCGCTCAGACTTGCTTTAATAGCTCCCTCACTCGTCGATCGTATAATAGGGAACGAGACGGATAACAAGAGAATCAGGGATGAACCACTAGCGTGGACTCTTTCTACGAGCAGAGGAAGGAACTCTACCGATTATAAAATCCCTGGGCTTTGCCAAAGACATAGGAGGCATACTGATCTTAGTCTACGCCCGGCTCTCGAACCTGATCTCGTAGATTACCTCAACCAAGTAATAGCATTGACTCACCTTCTCGTTCTCTATGCGATTGGAATCTCAGTCTTAGTCCCAGCCTTTAGCGGAAAGAGAAGACGATCAAATGTGTACATTGTTTTATCGTCTTCGTCTTCGTCTTCACTTATATACGTAGTTGGGCCTGGCCATAAACAAGAAATAGCAGGCTAAAGGCCCATCTTCTTAGTTTAGTTCTCTCTTTTCAAGTCAAGAATGTGCCAACCGAGGCCATTGAATTCGCTGCAGTGCAGATATCATCATATAATAATAAGTTATTCTTTTTACTGAATCAGCTACTAATCACATGTTTGGAATCGATCTAGCTGATTATCCGGTCGTTTAGTAAGCCCGAAAGCAAGAGAAAGAAGGTTTCCTTTACCACGGGAACTGCAGTAGCGGAACTAGCACGACGAACAATGCTCGACACTCTGTCAAGCGAGCCCCTCTCCTTATCAGTCGAGTCTATTCTCCCCTCTCCTTTCAGTCGAGTCTATTCTCCCCTCTCCTTTCAGTCGAGTCTATTCTCCCCTCTCCTTTCAGTCGAGTCACTTTGTACCTCTCTCTATTTTCCATTTCCATTCGAATATCTTGGACTTTGGAAAGAAAGATAGAGTCATTTATAGGGTCAATTTGTTTGTATCTTAGAGATCCTATTCATTTATCTTCCGGCTTAGTTGAATTGGAAGACTCAGCAAATTTATCTATTTCTTTCCGTAAAAAAATCTACTTATACATTAGAAGAACTACAGATTGTGGAAGTGGGCATGTCCAAAGCTGACGACGATGCTTGCCCTTTCAAAGAACCCCCTCAAACGCAATTCTGGTACACATCTTTTATTTAGTATTTATTTATTGGTACACCTTTTTGGATACGAATTCTTCTTTGGAAATGGTACTAGCATCTTCGAACGCAGATACGTGGAACAATCAGCAACGGTTGGATTCAAATCCGCTCATTTATAGCTTCGTAACGATTGATTCACTTCTCTTACGATAACTCAATAGCTGCCTTGTTAAGAACAACTGCACAGCGGCAGAGAGGCTCATTTATGAATTCTTGGGGCTTAGTTCTATTCAAGATTCAGGCGAGGGAATTGACTCTGGGCCCCGAGGTAAGATATAGAGTGTGCTGCGACTGCCTTCTCTCTTTTGGCTGTCGATTGCATGCAGTTTTCCCGATTTCTTTCGTTCTCCTTTTCGCTTTATTTGATTTCCATTCTCAGATAGATACTATGAACTCTTAGTCAGACTGTATAATATAATAGGAATAGGCATACTAGACCTAACTAACTGGATTGCTAGCAGTGAGAATAGCCGAAGCTGATAACCCGATTGAATCAGCTCTTTTAGGAGGAATTCCCTTTGTTATCGGAATAAGGGTACAAGCTGCTATCGAATAGGTGCTGTTCACACGTCTTGGTGAATAAGCTGTGATCACTCTACGACTTTCTGTTCAGCACGCTAGCTTGGCTTATGGCTTTGCTCCTTTTCTTCTGTTGTCGGCATACCGTTGCCTTTTGCTTGGCACGTTGTCGGAATAGGCTGTGATGCCAGATAGTGAAGTTCGAAGGGCCTTTCTTTATCACCGTAAGTAGCAATAGACTGATCTTAGCCCGAACCTACAGATTGACGCTTCGCTGGAGGGCTTACTGGCTGGCGAGCTTAGCTTATTCTGCAACTGGCTGATCGGATGGACTTGAGTTTCACTTACAGACTGACCGCTAGAATGAAAAGAGGCTTGCGGAAAGGAATGCCTTAAAGAAAAGTCCCACTTAATGACCTGCATCGTCTATTCTCGCTCGACCACTTGTGTACGTAAAGTATACGTGTACGTGGCGGGCGGAAAGAGACTCCCTGGTAACTAACTAGGGGGATTCCTGAAATGTAATGTATCTTTTCGGGTAAACACTGTAACCAAGCAAGTAGGCAAAAAGCTCTTCTGGAACACTATCTTATCCCCTAGGTAGTATGAATAAGACCATGATAAAGATTTAGATACGGGAAGGTGAGGGGCCTCAGATAAAGAGATCTTAGGTGGGCCTTAGCGGATAGGCGGGGCGTAAGCTCGGGATCAATGGACCAACGCGGGTAGAGAGTAGCTGGCCTAGCCCAATTCCATATAGATTGGGCAGCTAGAAAACCGATGTTCGAGGTTGGAATCACCCTAGAGTGAAGTTCTCGAACAGACCCTTCCAAAGGATATTTCCGCCCGGTTCAACTTGAGTACTCCATTCGGGGTGATATATAAAGGCTAAAATCGTCAGCAGAATAGCTAGTTTTGAAGCCGGTGGGGGATTTTTCTAAAATCAAGTGAAAATGCCATGGAATTTTGAATGTTTGGTCTGGATTCGGATATAGTTCGAAATGAAGCTATTCAATGGCTAACCTAAATCGAAATAAATCGCGAAGGTTGATGGCTTCGCTAAACCTTGCTGCCTTCCTCCGATCCTCTTCCTTACGGCCTATCGTTGGTTAAAGCATTTCCTTCACGTGGTTAAGCCTATGTCTTGTGCTCTTCCTTCTTCTTTCCTGTTCCGCACAAACCAACCAAGCAACCACCCAGGCAGATGTCTCCTGATATCACAGGAAGGGTGAAAGAAGAAATCGAGCGCCTCTTGAACGCTCAATTCATCAGACCAATCCGTTACACAGAATGGCTGTAAAAGTCCCCATTATAAAGAGCAAAATAAAGATGCATCGATTTCAAACAAACCCAAGGCCGATGCCAATATAAAATGGCACAGCTGGCTTCAGGGCTTAAAATAAGGCCATGAAGAGGTTCTATTTTCCAGTTTCCAGTTGCAGTTGACAAAAGAGCGGGGAGTATTGAATCCAAATAATTCGTAAAAGGGGATTCGCTCAAAGCAAA